GAGATTGCAGTTCTTTGGCTGAAATGAAAGAAATTGGCTGGAAACAGGGAAGTGCTGCGCGTAATGGGGTTCTGTGCAGGTGATGAATTCTGAACGCTTAGGTAAGCACGGTGGTTTCCAGGTAGCGTAAGCGACACCTTCCTGAATATGAATGAGGCTGGCTTTCCGGGGGCGACTTTGTTTCTCTCCTTCCTAAACTCCAGCTCATTGTGAAACTCTTCCCTGTCAAATTTCCTAAGATTTGAATGACACACGAATAAAACTCAGTCTTCTGCAGTAAAAAAAAAAAAGTCAGGAATCAGACTGTGTAAGAAGGATGGTGGAATGGGGACTCCAGCTCCTTCGAGAAGACAGAAGAGAAAGAAGGGGCAGAGGAGAAAGCTCATGGAGGCCAAGCCCCCGTCCTGGCCCCAGGCTGCCGTGTGCTTCCCGTCTGGGTGACCCTCAGATGACACTGATTCTTCGCCCTGTACTCCACCGAGACTAGTACCGAGGATAACAGCAGCATTTACTCATCACAGACAAGAGCTAAGTTTCACACAGGAGCTGGGCGGGGTCCCCGCGGTCCCTCTCGCCTGTGGACAGCGCCCAGGGCCTCAGGCATGGCTCGTGCACAGTAAACACCAGCCTCAGCAGGTTAAGCCACCTGGAAACTCCACAGTTGTGAACTTTCTGCAGCCTTCACCAGCAGAAGGGGAGATGCCCACGTGGTATCCAAAATGCCCAGGGGGAAAGGGAGGTGCAGTGGGCATGGGGACCTGCAGACAGAAGCTCTCAGGGGTGGCACAGTGACCCAGAGCTATACCGCCTGGCTTGAGCTCCCTGGACCAATAAAAGGTGCAGTTCTGCATGCTTGCAGGCCAGGTGCAACTTTTTATTTTGATTCTTACTTGATGGCCAGATACGTGTGAGTGGAGGGACGGGAGTGAACTGAGAATGCCATAGAGCACGGGCTGGGCAGGGTGGTGGGGCGACCAGGCCCTTGGCAGACGGTCACCAGGTGAGCACCGAGGGGTGATGCTGCTGTAGCTTCCTGTGAAAGAGGAAGGCCAGCCGGGTGTGGTGGCTCACGCCTGTAATCCCAGCACTTTGGGAGGCCGAGGCGGGCGGATCACCTGAGGTTGGAAGTTCAGACCAGCCTGACCAACATGGAGAAACCTTGTCTCTACTAAAAATACAAAATTAGCCAGGTATGTTGGCATGTGCCTGTAATCCCAGCTACTTGGGAGGCTGAAGCAGGAGAATCGCTTGAATCTGGGAGGTGGAGGTTGCGGTGAGCAGAGATCATGCCATTAAACTCCAGCCGGGGCAACAAGGGCAAAACTCTGTCTCAAAAAAAAAAAAAAAGAAAAAAAAAGGAAGGCCACAGTGAGCACACGGCCCAGGAGAGCCACAGTGGAAGCAGGGAGACCTGGGAGGGAGCTGCGACCACCAGGCCAAAGAAGCTGCTGGCTCAGGTGGCTGCAAGATGGGGAGGAGACTGGCCACAGATGCCCTGCCGAGAGAAGGATGTGTGGGGGTACAAAGAGGAGTCTCTGACTCCTGGCCAGGAGTCAACCTGAGTAAACGCCGGTCCCCTCGGCCGCAGAGGGAGGACGCGTGCTTCTGCAGGGAGGGGAAGGAGATGCCCAGAGCCGACGGTACCGGCTTCGACACAGGTGGCACTGGGTTTGCCTGCTCTACACTTTTGTGCTCCAATGTGCACAGTGGGGGCACGGTCAAAATATCTGGCCAATATGTGGAAGAGTCTCAAGCCCTCTGTCTGACCCACAGGAGTGTCCCTGCAGGCTGGGGTGCGGGCAGGGTGTGCTCTGCTCTCAGGCTCTCTGAGCTGAACTCGGCCTTGTTCTTCTATGGCCTGTGTATGGTTCTTATACTTTTTAGGTGGTTGAAAAAAAATCAAAGGAACAATATTTTGTGATGTGAAGTTATGCAAAATTCAAACTTCAGTCCACACGGTCACATAGCAACATGGCCAAGTTCATTCACTCACACGTGGTCTCTGGCTACTTTTGCACCACAATGGCAGTGCTGGGGAAGTGCCCAGGGGCAGTCCCACCCGCAAAGCTCTTTCATAGGAAGAGTCTGCAGACTCCTGCTCTAACCTACACGCGACAGCAGGGAGCTACCACCTCCACCTTGGTGAGCATGAACTAACCTGCTGGAGGCGCTAGAGAGGTACTCACAGGAGCTGTGGCCGGGGCCAGGGGAAAGGTATAATCAAAACAGAATACTATGAATTTACATTTTCTAGTACTTAAAAAAATATTTAAAATACCTTTTTTCATTGCAGATTTATAAGTAGAATTTCTGCAGACAGGTTTTAAAAGACACTTGTAGGCTAGCCTGGAAACCTAATAACTATATATAACAATTCTATTTAAAAAGTGTATTCCAGTTCAAAACAAACAGCTTACAAGTGACTTTAGAATATATTTCATTGGTGACTTGGCAATACCTCGATTTATACTCTAATATACAGTGTCAACTCTGCGCTTTCTGGGTACTTGGCATATTTTAGCAGACAACCAAACGCACAAAGCTGCAATGTTATTTCTCAATGAAAACTAACAAGTTGGTCTGTCTGGGCTAAGCTGGCGTGTCTGGGTTGTTGTGTAGTGAACCTTTCAGTTCTCTATACCCTAGAGGGCATGGTGCAAGCTGTGGACTCATTCTATCCAGAGGTCCTCAAGGCAGCAGATGGCCAAAGCCGGGAGCACACCCACAGGCTTGCCCGGTGGGAACTGCCTTGGCGGACGCCCTGCGTCTGTTTCAGGTCTTTAGGCTCCCATGTGCTGCTGTCATTGTGGCTGGACTGCCGTCCCCAGGAACTACAAGGGAAGTAGAAAGAGAGCTTGAAGCTGAACGCAAGTGAAAAGCCCATCATCAAAGCTCACAGCAGGGGGAGTGAGACGGCGCGGGGAGTGGGCCAGGGGAAGACGGCGGTGGCGGGGGTCCCGCAGACCTGAACACACACATTAGGAAGGAAGAAAAACTCAAAGTTATGAGCTATTTTTATTTTGCACTTGAGAACTGAAACAGGACAAGAGGGTGATACTAGAGAAAACAGAAGAAAGGAAACAAAATAAAGTACTGGAATAGAAAAATAAAGATAAAATAATGCAGTAAATTCACAAAGCCTAAATTAGAACTTGAAGACACTAAAGAAATGAACAAATATCTTAGAGGATTAATCAATAAAAAGAGGAAAAGGCAAATAAACAACAATAGGAATAAAAGGGGACACATCTAAAGAGACAGCAGATTGGGAATGACAGAGCAGCTGGAACAATAAAGAGACAGCAGAGATTAGAGACTCATGAGAATACTGCAGACAACCTCAAGGGAAAGAATGAGAATACTTAGCTGGATTGAATAAAATCCTAGAAAAATAAAAGTTTTTGAAGCTAGCTTAAGAAGAAATAGAGAGTGTAAATAATCCTATCAGCATTAAAGAAACGGAATACAGAATTCAAACCCACCCTTACAACGTCACACTAGCCCAGACAGCTCAGGGGCAAATTCAAGGGAGGCTTCTCGGAAGGTGCTGCCGGATGGGGGCTCTGAATGAGAGGGGAGCGGTACCATATGCCTGAGAAGAGCTTCCCCACCGAAGCCCAGGCTGGGGACCGCGAGTGCCAGGGCCCAGCAGAGCTGGGTGCAGCGAGTGAGGGGTGTGTCGGACGTGGGGCTCCATGGTGGCAGGGGCTGAATTCTGAGTTTGCTAATTAAAAAAAGGAACAAAAAGGAAGAAGAAACTAGAACCAGCCTCACAGTGCCTCACAGTGCCCCGACAGGAGAATGGATAATGGAGTCATGGCAGATAGCAGAGGTGAAGGAACAAAACCTAGATGACCATCAAAGATACAGATTGAAGTCAGAGCCAAACGGGTTTTGCAGGCCATGCGTTGTGTGACGGCGCCAACAGGAGGTAAAAGCCTCTAAGTGGGTACCACGTATGTGCCAGGGCTCACGGCCAGAGAGGGAAAGGATAACGTCACCAGAGGGAATGGGACCAGGGTGGGCTCTGGGGCTCGACCTCTGTAATTCCTTAAGCTGGGAATACCACACACACACACACACACACACACACACACACACACGCACGCACGCAAGTCTCTGTAAATTTTTACATGGCTAAAATGTTCCTTAATATGAAAAAAATTCAAGTGAAGCCAGTAAGCCATTCTGGATAGTCAGAACAAGAGGAGAGGAGGCTCGTTTGGTTAAGCCCTAAATCTGTTACCAGCAGTGTGAAGATGAACACAGCTACACAATAAGAAAACACAGTGAATTCCTGCTTCTCCTGCTTTACATCAGCAATCCTGGTGGTAGAACCCAGGCATACACCATTCATGGCAGAACAAGAGAAGAATCCGACCCTTCCATCAGATTTCCATTTCCAGGCAGTGCTGCGTCCAGCTGCTGGGATGGAGGGAAAGTTCTGTGGAGATTCCACAGGTGGGCAGGGCGGGGACGACAGCCCCCAGCCCCGACTGCAGGGACCTTCGCCTCTCACTGCGGACACTCTGTGTGGGGGCTGATCTGGGCACTAGAGGATGTGAGCAGCTTCCTGGCCTCACCCACTAGGGCAAGGAGCACCCCTACTGTGCCCTAGTTGCACCTGCGGGCAAACCCAGCCCCGGTTGAGAAGCATTGCTCTGCATCACCAGGGTGTCCAGCACCCATGAAGAACGCTCATCCATCTACGGAAGAAAGATGGAAGGTTCTAACAGCCTTCCCACCCGGCCAAGCTAGCCAGCTCCCATGGCTCTGGAGCGGCCTGTAAAATACTATCCCATCACAACAGTGATTTCAACTTTCCCGCTTCCCCCAGCAAAACATCCTCACGTCCTCGCAGTCCAGCTGACTTTTATTCTTTCTTTTGAACAGATAGCTTCGACACCCACTGCCCTGATGCAGACACAGGTTGGTGCTGCTCTGTGTGGGGAGGAGACCCTCGGGGCCCCTCGGAAGCAGAAAGGGGCACGTAGACTCACCGATGAGGGAGTTGAGGGAGGAGTAGGAGCTGGCGCGGCGCATCTTGTCGATGGTCTCGAAGGACAGGATGTGCTCCTCATTCTCGGGGCTGCCCAGGGTACTGCTGGCACTGCTGCTGGTGCTGAGGTTTCCAGGGGAGAACGCCACCGCGCC